CCTCCCCTCTCCTTCCCTCCCCCCCTCCCCTCTCTAGCCCTGCCCTCTTACACTGAACCTGTTTCTCTTCCCTAACTTGTGGAATTCAGGAAGTGATCTGGAGTTTTCTGAATCTTGCTTTCTTACAGGTAAGATCTGAGCTCTGCTGTCACTTTCTCTTCATTTCACTGTCCCCCCACAGAACAGCTAACCGTGATCAGATCCAACAGCTTATACTGTCTCCCTGGACTTTTCAACTTTCAATTCCTGACAAACTCACTCCTGATTAAAGGAACAACTCATTTCCATGTGGGTTAAAGGTGAGGATTCAATCTCTCTCTATCTCTACATGTCTCTCTCTCTCTCTGTCTCTATTTCTCTGTCTCAATGTCTCTCTGTCTCTCCCTTACGGTCTCTTCTCTGTTTGCCTCTCTCCCTTTCTGCATTTCTCTCCCCTCTGCGTCTGTCTCTCACTGTCTCTTTTTCATACTGTCTCTGTCTCTCTCCACTTCTGTGTGTGTGTTTCTCTGTCTTTCTCACACACACACTGTCTCTGTCTGTATCTCTGTTTCTCTCCCCTTCTCTTGGTGTTTCTCTCTTGGCCTCACTGTCTCTCTCTCTCTCTCTGTCTACTTCCTCCCTGTGTGTGTCTCTCTCTCTCGTGATCTCGCTCTCTCTCTGCCCCTCTCTCTCTGTGTCTTTCTCTGTCTCTGTCTGTCTCACACCCACAGTCTTTCTCCCGCTGTTTCTGTCTCACAGTCTCTCTCTCTCTCACTGTTTCTCTCCCTCTGTGACTCTGTATTTTTATGTCTCTCTGTGTCTGCCTCTGTATTGCACACATAGTACATATCTCTTGTTGTATATCTCTCACTTCCTCTGCTTCTGTCTCTTTTCCCTTTCTCTGTACACCTCTCTCCAATCACCACCCCCTCCCTCTGTCTTCGTCTCTGTCTCTCTCATATTGTTGTGTGTGTTTCTCTCCGTGCCTCTTGTTTTATTTCTTCTCACTATACACCCCACCCACATCTCTCTCTCTCTCAGCCTACCTCTCTCGATCTCTCTCTCTCAGCCTACCTCTCTCGATCTCTCTCTCTCAGCCTACCTCTCCCGATCTCTCTCTCTCAGCCTACCTCTCCCGATCTCTGAAGTGAGTGAAACCTCTTTTATCCTTCCTAAGCACAGCTCCAGTAACCCCTGAGCCCAGCAATGCAGAGAGCTGCAACTCACTCGGATCATATTGTCTGTCCTGTGGCCAAGGGGAGCCGTGGACTTTGCAAACAAGGCAAAGGGTGAGCTCAAAGGGAGGCCGCACTAAGGTTTCACAGCGAGTCACTCACTGGCTTCACCTGCTTTCGTGTTTGCTCTCACTTTGAGGCAGGTGGAAGATTGAGCAAATCCCAATCTCCATCACAAACAGATCTTCCATAAACTCTATAACTGCTCTTCTCAATAACACAGCCGTCATGTATCAGGAGGCAGCTCGACTCTGTGTCTAACCCCGTGCTGTTCCTGTCCTGGGAGTGTTTGACAGGGGGAGAGTGTAGAGGGAGCTTTACTCTGTATCTAACCACGTGCCGTCCCTGTCCTGGAAGTGTTTGATGGGGCGACAGTGTAGAGGGAGCTTTACTCTGTATCTAACCCCGTGCTGTCCCTGTTCTGGGAGTGTTTGATGGGGGACAGTGTAGAGGGAGCTTTACTCTGTATTTAACCCTGTGCTGTCCCTGTCCTGGGAGTGTTTGGTTGGGTCAGTGTAGAGGGAATTTTACTCTGTATCTAACTCTGTATCTGTCCTCGGAGATAGAGGATTGGAAACATGCCCATGTACCACCTTCATTTAAAAAGGGAGAGACGCGAAAAGAAAAACAGGTCGCTCCGCCCACCGCATCCACAGCCACCAGCTCCAGAGGAGACAGTAGCACCCAGCCCTGCCGAGTCTTCACCATCCCCCCAGACCTCCCCCTT